TTACAACTACACAGATCCAGTCGCTCCTTCAAGAACTTTGCCAAGACTGGCAGGCACACCGTTCCCCAGCCACTAAACAAAGGTTTAAAGAAGCTTGTCGGAAGTTGTCTAAGGTTTTACTAACTGAAAAGAATCAAACTCAACGTGTCTATATAGCGCAACTTTCGCCCACCAGCAACAAATTTCCACTCTGGAGAGCGCACCCAAACATTGAACCACCATCGATCATCAACAGGTGGGTGGGCCCGTAGTGACGAGGAAAAGGCCTACATCTTACTTAAAAAATGTCTTCCAACCTCATCCGCCGACAAACCAATTCACTTTACCAAACATCTCACCAGCGGAGCGCAACTGAGATTGACATTCCCACAAGCAGCCAGACAACTCTATCCACCTTTGCTGATAACACAGCTATAACCAGTCGTTCAAAATGCCCAAAAACAGCAACAGCGTATTTAAACAAGAAAGAAAGCAAACTTCGGCAAGCCGAAGTTCATATACCCTTGCAGCTATTGCAAGAATAAAATATTTTTGAAAACATTAAAATTATGATTTACTTGCGTATATGTTTAAAAACATTGAAGCTATGATGTTTTGCAGCTCAATTATTAGATAGCTATTTTATATATTTTTATTATTTCTATGGGAGCTATATGATATAATCGTCCGATTTTGATGAAATTTTAACCGTTATTCTAAAATATTTAACCATTACTATATGTCGAAGAACTGAAAAAAAATTTTAAAACAGCAAAGTTATATACTGTTTTTTGTGTTTTTTTCCGATTGCTCCTATGGGAGCTATATGCTATAGTCGTCCGATTTTGATGAAATTTAAACCGTAATTCTGAAATATTTAACCATTACTATATGTCAAAGAAACTGACGGACAGACGGACGGACATGGCTAGATCGACTCGCCTAGTGATGCTGATCAAGAATATATACACTTTATAGGGTCGGACATGTCTCCTTCACTGCGTTGCAAACTCTGACTGAAATTATAATACCCTCTGCAAGGGTATAAAAACACCTGAAGGCCGTAGAAAATTGGCTAGCAGATTGGCGCATACAAGTCAACGAACAAAAATGGAAGCATGTTCGTTTACACTCAATCGGGCAACCTGTCCACCACTGGCCCTAAGCAACAAACAAATCCCCCAAGTCGACGAAGTCACATACCTGGGCATCCACTTAGACAGGCGGCTTACCTGGAGAAAGCACGTTGAAGCGAAGAAGATTTCCCTACAACTCAAGGCCAAAAGTTTCCACTGGCTCATCAATTCCCGGGGTGAGCGGGATAATAAATGGATCAAAGCCAACAAACTAGATATATCAATGTGCTCAGAAACCATTCCCATTAACCCTTCATCCCTGCCAGCTAAGAGCCATTTGATAAATTGTTTAAATTGTAAGTGTAAAGTGTAAAAATTTAAAAGTTAATCTCTTAAGCTGTTGGAGATATAAGATCTTAGCTTTTTTTCGTACATACCGTTCATGGGGAGTCCGCTGGGACAGCTTTTCGGTGCTGCGCCATCCCAGGTACGGCTGCCGATACGATTTTCGCAATACCCCGCTGCTGCTGGACACGGACATGAAGCTGCTGTTGATGGGTGCGCCGCGGGCAAAGCTTTCGCGCTGCGAGACACTGGGTGACGTCTGGGTGGAGTTCAGGTGCGAGGTTGACCAGCGCAAGGCACACACTCCAGTCTGGCCGGGCGCCTGGCCGTGACCTGTCGTGGAGCTGCATGTATATGTGCTTTGACCGCCGTGGTGACTGTGCGCTGAGGGACTCATCAGTAAAGGACATCGGTCGAAGCGCTGCGATCCCAAGGAGTTAAGAGAGGTGGTCTTTGCGCTTAGTCCCTGCCAGCGTCCTGAGTCCTGTGTGCGCTTGCGCGAGAAGTTGCCAGGACGGTAGGCGCCGGGAGACTCCCCAGTAGCGGCATTTCTGCTATCTGGAGTCTGTCCGGATCCTTTGTTGTATTGACGGAACCAATCGGGGATATTGAGTCGGTGAAGCGATGTCAGGACACGAAGTTGGTGCTCGCTCAGGGCGCCCGGGTTTTGGTCGTGCGACTTCTGCAGCTCGTTTTCGGGGGCCTGCAAGTATAAGAAAACCATAAACGAAAATAAGTTTCTTCAATAGTTTCATTGAAGAGAAATTGTTAGAATAAACAAGAGAGAACGCTGCAGTCTAGTTTCCCGACTATAAGATACCCGATACTCAACAACAGAATTCAAACATTGTATTTGCCCTAAAACACAATCGAAGTTCAGGTTGCGCCATCTGTTGAACTGCATAGACAACACCGTTTTGAAATAAGCTTGCGCTACTTTGGAAACACTAGAATCTGCATTCCAAGACCCAAATCTCTAGCTTTTATAGTTTCCGAGATCTCTTTGTTACCTTGTTTTAGTCTTGATTTAGGTATAATAACATTTTTTATAATTAACCGCAATTATGCCAGTGAAAAGGAATATAAGTTTTTGATTTCGGACGCGACATTATTTATCGACTCATACAAAAATTTTCTATTGTTTTAATGTTAATAATAAATTAACATATTTCAAAACTTTAAAATACGAAGTGCTGGTGGCTCTTACACTGGCTTACAAAAGATTTGCGTTTTAAAATCGCTATAAAAATACAACGAGTATTAATTTTTCAAATTTTTTTTTATTGGATAGCTTTAACATCGCGGATTATGTATGAAACACCACTTCGTTCATACTGGCTTTACAGTAGCCCATTCGGTCGACTACAGCGTTCATTGTTGTTTTTGTATTCATAGCTGCTATTTGACAGCAATAGAAAATCAAACAAGGATGGAAGGAAACTTCGGCAAGCCGAAGTTTATATACCCTTGCAGCTATAAAAAAAATAAATATTATTTACAACATTTAAAGTTCGGATGGACAGCCGAACACGTCTAGATCGACATTCCGAGTGCTGCTGATCAAGAATATAAATACTTTATAGCGTCGGAGATTTCTCCTTCACTGCTTTGCAAACTTCTGACTGAAAATATAATACCCTCTGAAAAGGTATTTTAGACGAATTTCAATGCAGGTGAGGCGCCGTAAAGCAAAAAGTAAAAAAACTGTTTCATTATGTATTCCAGATTTCGGACTCCAGTCGGATGAACCTTACTCCAGAATCGGACGAGCTAGCGAAATAATTAGTCTTGGTGACATAGGGATCCTCGAATTCCATACACGCCCTTTTAATAAAACCAAGCACACCCATAGCGTTATTAGAGATGGCCGAAATATGATCGGAAAATATTAGTTTTGGGTCGAGAAGGGCGCCAAGAGCAATTCTTCCCAAAAAGCATTCACTTAGGGTGTAAGTCGCGTATTTCGGATTGACACGATTAAAGTAACTACATTAGACTTAGAGCCGACTAAATTTTTAAATTATCGCGGCACCAGTTTTGCATTTGATTTAAATCGGATTGTTGGTCACCGTTGCAGGAAAAATCTTTATACTGCAGAAATAATTTGCGTACATAAACTATTCAAAAACAAGAAAGGAAGCAAACTTCGGCAAACCGAAGTTCATATACCCTTGCAGCTATTGCAAAAACTAAATATTCTTGAAAACATTAAAATTATGATTTACTTGCGTATGTTTCAAAACATTGAAGCTATGATGATTTGCAGCTTAATTATTCGATAGTTCCTATGGCAGCTATACGATTGTTCCTATGGGAGCTATATGCTATAGTCGTCCGATTTTGATGAAATTTAAACCGTAATTTTGAAATATTTAACCATTACTATATCTCGAAGAACTAAAAAAAAAATTAAAAAAAAGTCCATAGTTATAATTTTTTTTTATTTATTTTTATGATTGTTCTTATGGAAGCTATATGCTATAGTCGTCCGATTTTGATGAAATTTAAACCGTAATTCTAAACTATATAACCATTACTATATGTCGAAGAACTAAAAACAAAATTAAAAAACACCAAAGTTATAATTTTTTTTTATTAATTTTTCCGATTGTTCCTGTGGGAGCTTTATGCTATAGTCTTCCGATCCGGCTCGATTCGACTTATATACTACCTGCAATAGAAAGACAACTTTTGGGAAAGATTCATGCAGATAGCTTTAAAACTGAGAGACTTGTTTGCGTAGAAACGGACGGATAGACGGACATGGCTAGATCGACTCGTCTAGTAATGCTGATCAAGAATATATATACTTTATAGGGTCGGAGATGTCTCCTTCACTGCGTTGCAAACTTCTGACTGAAATTATAATACCCTCTGCAAGGGTATAATGATTTTGTAGCTAAGGGGAGGTCGTTAATAAATAAAGTAAAAAGTAGCAGACCGAGATAGCTCCGTTTTGAGGTAACACGGAGAAGTTATACATAAGTGGAATTTTTGAAGACGACCCTTTGAGTCCTGCCCTTAGATAACTTAAGATCCACCTAAGAAAGACTTACAGGTCGAGTTTCCAAAACCAAAATTACAGAGTCAAATGCTTTACTTAATTGGTCTGCTGAGTAACGGGTATTTTATAGTCATACTACAACATTAATTACTTTTCCATAAGCTTGGTCGCCTTTTCTGCTTATATAGCTTTAAAATCGCATTCAATCGATTTGAAAAAGTGGGCGATAAGGCACATGCTTTACTGACTGGCTTACCGTGCATTTAGGGGTGTAATGCAAATGCTTTAAATTCTGGTATACCACTAATTTTTTTTTCTTTAAGACGAAATAAAAGATCACATCAATATAAAAAAATACTTCAACTCAAAGTTATCCCACAATTATATTATCATATATCCTATATATTTTAAATATTCTTATTTACATTTGGTTCAGAATTACGGCCTGTAAGTCTTATTTGTTGATTAAGTAAGTACATAAGTTCAATTATTTATCGTTAAGTCCCACTAAGAACACACTTCACGTGCCGTATCGATGTATCGATAGGAACAAAGTATATATCGCCTCTAACAGGCAAGCACTAACATACCGAAATGGAAATTTGAGCAGACCGGCAGCAGATTTTCTTTGGAGGATTTTGCTACCAAATAAATATTAATTACAGTCCATTTCATTGTAATCTTCGGAAACATTTTGGTCCATCCGATTATGTCCTCGGTCTCGGTGTTTACAAAAACATTTTGGTAAAATCCTCGTGTTCTTAATTCACAACTTGGTGAAAATCGGACATAACCTCTTTGTGTGGCAATGTCTCTGCAATCAGTAAAAAAAACAGCGTGGATTCTGCAAGGCACAAGTCACACGTGCACATGGTCGTGCTTCGGAATTTGTATCAGCCGTAAAAGCCCAACGCTATAGCAGAGAAGAAAAGAGTAGCACTCCACTCGTCCACCCCTATCGCCAACTCGGAGGACCTGCCTGAGCGGTTGGCTACCACGCAAGCACAGCGTTTTAGAGCAGGTTCAAGAAAGCAGGTTCGAGAGTCAGACGCCCAAACGCACTTAAGAATTGAGAAGATCCGGACTCCAACCTTCCGACGCAAATACGAGGACTGGCCTCAATTTTGTGACATGTCCATGGGGTCCGTAGACCGACGCGAAAACCTCACTAGCTGCCAGAAATTCCATTACTTGAAATCATATTTGGATGGTGAAGCACTCAATGTAGTTAAACCTATTGCCGTCATCGAAGAAAATTATGTTGAATACGACAAAAAACCACTTATAACGCGATAATTTATTGCTGGTTTTTTGGCCTTGCCAAATGTCGCAGCGTCTGGAATGTCCGTCCCACGCAAGCTAGCGGACGGAGCGAACGAATCCATTCGAGGATTACACGCGCTTGGTGATCAGTGAGATCATGGCTAAAACACATATTGTTCCATAAATTGTATATGGAAAAACGCCAATCTTGGGACGAACGGCCAGCGAACGGCTAGCGAAATGAATATAGAAGCATTTTTGGATTTCTTGTTCTCCATATGCGATGCTCTAGAATCTTGTCAGATTACAACCAAAACAAATGGGAAACGTATCGCCAGCGTACACGTCGCCAGCGTTGCCTCGAACTCGTCAGGAAGTGCTTGTGTTCTCTGCACACAGTCGCAATCAGAAATAACGTGCACTCAATTTTTATCGTTGGGCTTACTCGATCGCCGATCATTCATAAAGCAAAACAAGTTGTGCTTTAATTGTCTAAGTTAACATCACACTTTGGTAGATCAAAACTCGCACCGGAGAGCAGCTCTACAAGGACTGAAGGTTCGACAACTGGGATTTCAAATTTTTCGGTAGAGACTGCATTTGTTGCTCGTTCGCAGACCATGATGCCTACCATACTAGCTCAGGTGGTGTACAATTGTGGACGCCAGACGTTTTGCCGAATTCTGCTGGATTAGGGATCAACTATTGCTTTCATTCAACGCATCGGCGCACCTTTTATTCAGGCACGTATTTCGGTGATTGGGCCGCTGGCGTAACTCTGCAATCCTAAGTCTCAACAGATGTCCAGGAGATATGAGTATGAGTTCCTTAACCACGTCAGTTCCCGCCGAAGAGTTACGCACAAGAAATTGGGAAGCTCTACAAGGGCTTACATTAGCCGATTCCACCTTCGCCACCCCGGGAGATATAGATGTTAGAGTTTGTTTACAGGCCAACGAAAATTGATAAGTTAACCTAATACACCTGCACTAAACACAATTTTTGGTTGGGTAATTGTAGACTCGGGACCCTTATGTAATGAACCACCAAAGCCAGCGCCAGCTAATCATGCTCTAATCGATTTGGATGATATGGTGAGGAGGTTCATGGAGATTGATCCTGAGCGACACTTATCCGCAGCAGACGTTAAGTCGATTCGTACCTTTGGAATCCGGAATAAGAAGGGCAATTATTTGCCTTTATGGAAGATTATATACAGCGCAGGCATATGGGAGCACTCGAAGAATCTTGCAAAAAAATCCATGTTGTTTCCTAGCCCACCATCAAAGCTGAAAGTAAAACCACCAAATTTCGTGTTGTATTTGACAAATGGTATCTCAACGATCGCTTATACATCGGATAATTTGGCGAGATGATGAAAAAAAAAATAGTTCAACACTACCGGTTATTAACCATTTTTGGCAGTAAGGGTCCTTAAACAATTGGCAGAGGGCCACCTGCATCAATATCCACGAGCAGCTTCATCTTTATTAACGGATGCATATGTCGACGACATATCAACAGGAGCGGATACAGAGGAAGGCCTCATCGAAGGCTGCTAGCGGAGGCTAAGTATAACCTACGCAAAGGAGTTCCAGTTGTAAAACTTAAATGAATTCTATTCCCCCGGTGGACTGCGCTTACCAGCCAGCAACAAAGCAGTCAAAACATGACAAAATATTGGGGCTGCTCTGAAAATATTATGGGATGAGCCTTTGAATGATCATATTGCCAGAAGGTAGATAATCTTAGCGAGCTGCTAGCATTGTCTCAGTGTCGAATCCCTCGATACATTGCCAGACCTTCGGAAACAATTGATCTGCACGGACTCGCGGACGCCTCTTCACAAGCAGTTGGAGCCGTTGTGTACAGTAGGGTAACAACGGTCGCCGGAACATGGATCACACTAGTCGGTGGCAAGACTCGGGATTGGAACTCACCGCTGCCTAAGTAAGTTACTAAGTAAATTGTTAGCTCTTATAAAATCGTCTTTGTCGATTCCAGTTACAGCTTTTTTTTGTTGGTCGGACTCTGATATCGTTCTTCACTGGCTGTCAGCTCCACCTCGACGATGGAACACGTTCGTATGTAATAGAATCGTCGAAATCTTAACAGAGTATTTCAGAAGCTGCTGGAATCATGTACGCGCGGAAGACCACCCGGTCGATTGCGCCTCCCGAGGGTTGCCTCCATCAACACTGTTTGACCACGACCTTTTTTGGAAGAGGGTCCAAGCTGAGTCGGAGTTACATTGCCCGACCGGCACCAAAAAAAAAAAAAAATATGCAGCTGCACCCACCTGTACTTTGCGATGAAAAACCTTATAAGGAACTAAACCTTACTCTGAAAGCTAATTCACATCCGGATATTATCGACAGTTTAATTCATAAACTTTCGTCTTGGAATCAACTACTGCGGGTTGTCAGCTATGTTTTTCGATTTATACAACGCGTACTCCACAAAGGTACAGCCAGGCGTACTAATAGCTTAACATTCCATATTGAACCTCACAGCGCATACCTAACCGTAAAGAACTTGCAATACGCCCGAGAGAGGCTATTCAGGCACATACAACCTACGGCTTTTCCACAAGAATACGACGCAGCCGGGAAATAGCAAAGACTGCCCAGAAAATCAAAATTGCTGAAATTGACGCCGTTTTTGGATGCTTTCGGACTACTACGCATCGGCTGACGTTTTGACCGATCGGTGTTGTCATTCAACGCAAAACATCCGAGTATAGTCGCCAAGGTATCACCGCTGGCCTGGATGATTGTGCGTTACGTTCACAAGGCTAATTTGGCTCCCTGGAGTAGACGCCACTTTTCATCACGTTCGTCAGCAATACTGGGAGTATGTTCGCAAGCTAGTTTTGGTGTTTGCTATTTTAACTTTCTTAATATAATTTTCGATACTATTAAAAGAAATGGTCCTTTGAAAGTTAGAAGTCCATATAGACTGCCATTGAACACAAGTGGCCTGAAAACCTGCGTAATAAGTTTTACAAACGGTTTAATGCAACTAATAGCTCTCTTGTCTGACGATACATGCAGCACAAGTGGGAGTTTGAGTTCATAAATATGCAAGCACCATTCATTTCTAGTTAAGCCATACATTTCACCTAGTCAGCATCGGTTTATTTCTGGTAGGTTAACTACCCCAAATTTAGCCGTTTTTAGCAGCTATTATATCGTCCATTAACGTCATTATCAGGTGGATGCTTTCTACTTGGACTTTGCAAAGGCATTCGACTTAACTTGTCATGCAAATGATTTCACTCCCAGTTATTTAAATGGATTAAATTATATCTGGATCGGCTCACTTTTGATAAGTGGGCTAGAAGCATTTGCGTTAACTTGATGTTAACATTGATGGTAATCTTTCTTGCAAATTCGTAGCAAACTCAGGCCATCCTCGAGGCAATACCCTCGGCCCTCTTCTTTTAATAATATATATTAATATTTATTGAAGCCTTAAAAATAATAGAACTTCTTCTATATGCTGATGACATCAACATCTTTAGGTATATTTGCTCTGTTGCTGACACCAGTCTGTGAGGTGAAATAGTTTGAATTTTGACACTATACAATTGTGACCGATAGACCTTTTATTCAGAAACATATATTCCTAAAAGCTACAAGCTATAGTGAGCAGCGATAGGAGTATATGCATGCATTGGCATATTTGCCTTATGTTTGTATATACCACAAGACGGCTTGCTGTAAGTGTTAGTTGGTGTGAGGGCCAGTCGTCTCCGCCGGAATGCGTGGTCAGCATATTAGAGCCGGCTCGTTGGCCGGACACTTGAGAAGGCTTGTGTTAATTTGTTTGTGCATATACAATCGATATGTTTATGTAATTAAAGTAGAAATAAAACAATATACTCCGCTCGCTACACCTCCCCCATTAAAATGATGGCGTATATTTATGAAGTCATTCTAAGACAGTTGTAAAATTAACAGAACTTCAAAACATTAAATGGAATGAAGTAATATGAAATGATATGATCATGTTTTGAATTGTTTTTAGGTATTTATGTGGGCTTTATTTTTATTTAAAATTTTCCTTTGTTTTTTTTTATACTCTTGCAGACGGTATTATAATTTAAGTCAGAAGTTTGCAACGCAGTGACCGACTCTTGATCAACATCACTAGGAGAGTCGATCTAGCCATGTCGGTCTGTCCGTCTGTCCGTCCGTCTGTCCGTCCGTCCGTCCGTCCGTCCGTCCGTTTCTACGCAAACTAGTCTCTTAGTTTTAAAGCTATCTGCATGAAACCCTCCCAAAAGTTGTCTTTCTATTACAGGTAGTCGGAACAAGCCGGATCGGGCGACTATAGCATATAGCTCCCATAAAAGCAATCGGAAAAAAAAGTAAAAAAAAAATTATAACTTGCTGTTTTTTAATTTTTTGCTTAGTTCTTCGAGATAAAGTAATGGTTAAATATTTCCGAATTACGGTTTATATTTCATAAAAATGGGAAGACTATAGCATATAGCTCCCATAGGAAAAAATCGGAAAAAATAAGTAAAAGAAAATTATAACTTTGGTGTTTTTATACCCTTGCAGAGGGTATTATAATTTCAGTCAGAAGTTTGCAACGCAGTGAAGGAGACATCTACGACCCTATAAAGTATATATATTCTTGATCAGCATCACTAGGATTAATAATTCAAAATTACGTTCTTAAATTTATTCATACCGAAAAACGATATAATTTGGCTGCCATAGGAAGAGCGATTAATTGAGCTTCAATTTTAAACATATACGCATATAATGAAAAATTTAGATGTTTTAAAGATGATTAAATTTTTGCAATAGCCGCAAATAATTTATCGACCTTTTGCCGTCTTATTTGAGCAGATGCCATCCCGTTCAATTATCTAGCCTTATGGACCGCAGAAAAATTCAGGCTTGCTGGCAAACCAAATTGCTCAATGTTGCTCTCTAAAATAGACTTTTGTGTACCATGCAGACTTTTACGTTCCGATGAACCTTTATTATCAACCTTGAACAAACCAAATTTTTCTTTAGTTGAACGTTAAATACTAAGTTTTAAAATTTAATCAGCTGTAGCCAGTAAACATTGTTTTGGTGAATAAATTATTAAAAATTAAATACAAACTATGTATGTGATAGGTTCCGTTAGAATGGAGTGAGCTTAAGCCCCCAAAAGTCAAATAGCTTAGTGATACACAAGAAAAATATTGATAATTTTAACTTTCAGAATCTTCAAAAAGGAGATGCAGAGCTAGAATATGTTGAGAAAGCTAACTATTTAGATATCTATTCTAACAAATAAATAGTGCTTCCGGAAAAAAATAAGGGTTATTTCGACAACTACATGCAACCCAATATTTTATATCATACCTAAAACTTTTAATTTATCTTTTACTTACGTATATGTTTAAAAACATTGAAGACATGATGATTTGCAGCTTAATTATTCGATAGTTTCTATGGCAGCTGTATGATATCGTTTTCCAATTTTAATAAAATTAAAAGCGTAATTCTAAACTGTCAATTTATTATTATTATTATTATTATTAGTATCGGGGTGTTTAGTGTACCGCGACCTGTAAGATCTATTGTACCCCCATTCAGAGCCTACCGCTCATATATCAACCCACTTCCTCGAATAAAGTCGAGGAGTTTTAGTGGGTTGATTCTTCCTAGGAGCTCAGGTGTAAGAGTTTTGGTTCCTAAGATTTTACATCTTATACTTGCTAACGCCGGACGATGATGTGTTTAGAGGTTTCGTCCTCTTTGTCGCAGAATCTGCAAGTTCTACTGCTGGTTATTCCCATCTTACCTAAGTGACTTTTCAGTCTACAGTGCCCGGTTAGTAATCCGGTAACGATCCTAAGTGAAATTTTCCCTAGTTGAATAAGTTCCTTGAACCTCTTCTTATTGTAGTTATTTATTTGAGTTTTGGCTTGCCTTAGGCTTGGGGTATTCCTCCAGTGTTCTTGCCTCATGGCGCCTTCCTCTTTCCTAAGGTATTCTTTTATAGTGTGCCTCCCTATGCCATAGTAGGGCTCTGATCTCTAGTTTTGCCATTTTATCGGCAAGTTCATTTCCGGATATATCCTTATGTCCCGGAATGTCAATTTATTAATAAGTCAAAAAGAATTTAAAAAAAAATTACAAAATAGAAAAGTTACATTCAAAAACAATTTTTGATATATTTTTTGTTGATTAAATGGGAGCTATATGATATTTTCGTCCGATTTTGGTAAAATTTAAGCCGTAATTCTGAAATATTTAACCATTACTATATGTCGAAGAATTTAAAAAAATTAAAAAACAGCAAAGTTATAATTTATTTTTATTATTTTTCCGATTGTTCCTATGGGAGCTATATGCTATAGTCGTCCGATCCGATTCGTTCCGACTTATCTAATACCTTCAAAAGAAAGAAAACTTTTGGGAAAGTTTCATGCAGATAACATTAAAACTGAGAGACTAGCTTGCTTAGAAACGGACGGACAGACGGACGTACAGACGGACAGGGCTAGATCGACTCTCCTAGTGATGATACTGATCAAGAATATATATACTTTATGGGGTCGGAAATGTCTCCTTCACTGCGTTGCAAACTTATGACTGAAATTTAATACCCTCTGCAATGGTATAAACATAGTAAGCATTGGGCCAAGACTTGCAAGTTCGCGTATGGAACTCGTTGCCTCATTCCCTAAAAAGCATTACTACCCGCAGCAATTCTATATTAAGCATTAGGCAGCACTTTAACACACTCTTAATAAACTTAATTAAACTACAAAACAGAACAAAATAAACTAAATAATGAATAGAAAATAAATAAGTAAATAAAATTAGTTATCAAATGAATAAGACGTTTCCAGGTTAAAAATCGTAATGTAACTAATTAAAATAATATTGTATGTACTTGAAGCGCTAGGCTAGTAACAATCCAATTAAATATCAACAGGCTCTTGTATCTGAACAATCCGTTCGTGAGTGAATTAGAGTGCCTCGCACTAATCAAAGGGATTCAGGAATTCCGATCACTCTTCGTTATTGTGGTAAATAAAACAAAAATATCTTTCCGGCAGGTTTGCTAGATGGGCTATTCGTTTTTAGAGATTTTATTTCCAAATGAGACACAGTTTATTTTGTTCAGTGTGTCGTTTAACGAAAAGTTCGAACATCGTGCTGAGACCATAAATGGGTAAACCAATTACGTCTGAGAAATCTTTTTAAAATGTAGACCCTACCCTACCCTACATTCAAAGGAGGGATATATAGGACTTTTAGTTGTGGTAGATCACCTTACCACTGAAGAAGTGGTTATCAGACTGAAGTAAAAATATAAGTGACCAGAAATTGTAGTAGCTAACTGGCGAAGGGCAAGATGCGTCCCAATGTTTTTGCTGTCATAATATCGTTTATTCCAATTCAACACCAAGCAGAGTAGTCATACATAAAAAGTGTTCAATAAAAGTGCAGTGAAAAATTAAAGTAAATCACAGTCAATCAGCCAACTTTCCTTTGCAGCAAAATAGCTAGGTTTTTTTGTTCATAGTAGAAGGTGAATATTAGCGTTGAGCCGCTGTAATTAAAGTCACTTGAATTGCAACGTTTTACCTGTTTGAACGGATGCGCTACAGCTGCGTGGCAGGTATATTCTTGCTAACCCGCGTCAGATTCGTCGAGCAGCGCTTCAAGTTCCTGGCGCCCCTAACCTTATTTCACGCACATGTCGCCGTTCCCCAGGCTAGTTCCAAGTAGCGGTACACCAGCGTGTGAACCTTTACCGGACCAATTAAACTTTTATTGCCGAATCCACGTTTGCCCAAACGAGTTCCTGGCGAGACACATTGACCAGAAAAAGACACCACATCAACAAGTTAAGGCAAGCGAAAAAGGAGTCCACGCCCACCATTTAAACACAAAACCACCCCGCTGTACACGTTTTCCCTTTCTTGCATTCAGATTGTTTTGTTTGATTGAGTTGAATACATATTCATAACAAAATTTAACTGGTACGACAAAATATGCAACGGGAACTGCAGCAGTATGGATAGTAAGCCGTTTTCAAAGAGAATACTCAGCTGTCGCTTTTGTTAAAGCGATCACGGCGGCGTAAAAATATGTAGACAGAAAATCAAGTTTTTTTAGCCAAAAAACCCTTGTAAGCGGCCACTGTGAAACCAGCGTGCGTATTTCACGTGAGTTTTTCAACACGTCTCACTTGATATGCCGTATAGACCATTACAGTTCTACTGACCTTCCAGCCGTAAGTTTAAGTTTAAGCAGTTAGTATGACGAGAGTCAGAAATCATTAAATTCTTGTAATACCAAATAAAGTTTGTAACAATCGGTACACTCTAGAAGTTGCTAGCTCTCGTAAACATTGTAATGCGTATTCTAGGATCGCGGAATATAAGTCTATACTATGTTGTCTTTGGAAACCATTTCCGTGGAGGAAAACAAATAAAATGTATAACGAACATTATTATGGATAACTAATTAACTATTAAGGGTCGTCGCGCAGAAGCAATCAAATCTGACCACCAATATACAAGTATGTAACCGAGTCACCAAGGTAAGGAGAGTAAAGACAAAAAGGGCAACATCTCGAATACCTCCTGCTCGCTCCAGAGGTACGCAGTCCACCTAGTAGTAGTTGTTTCCGTTTCCTCTGACTCACATTTGCTACAGTCAGTAGGTTTCCGAAAAGTGCACTTAAATTTATGTTGCAGTGTAACTTAAAAGGATGAAGAAAGAACCCATACCGCACCCGGCGAGCTTAAGTCAGAAGAAAGGGCACGAATCCCCTATGCACGAGTAGGTAAAATTGATTCCAAATCTCAATAATACATACGCTACACAATCGCGCCCAGCGTGGGCACAGAGGTCGGTTCCAGAGGCCAAAATAAAAAAATCAATGTCAAAATTTTGATTTTAAGTGTACTAATTCTTATTTAGACCAATTAGCTATTTGAAATTAT